CAGGGACCATGTCTGTCTTACTCAAGGTTATGTTGCCAGAGCCTCGACCAGTGCTGGGCATATGGGAGAAGGCCAGTGAACACTTATTACCTGAATGAGCCTGCTGGCCCCTGGGGGAGACAGATATGTCTCCAGGTTGTGATGAGTGAGCCAGATCTAAGCAGTCTGGGAGAAGGTGGCAGAGCTGAGTCCTCCTGGGGGGAATCTGGAAAAATCTTGAAGAAGAGGAAGGATTTGAATTGTGACAAGAGCAGGTAACAATTCTTGATTAAAACTGGCAGAAGCACCTTTGCAGGAGTAGGGTCCTGGAGGAGAGGAGGGCCCGGCCTCTGGATGGTTGACGTATAAGATGCAGATATGTGGGAATTCCCTGATGGCTCAGTGGTTAGGACTCAGAGCTTTTGCTTCCTGGGGCCCAGATTCAATCTCTGATTGGAGAAACTAAGATTCTACAAGCTGAGCAGCCAAAAAACCCCAAACAACAACAAAAAACAGGTGTGGGGTGCTGGGGGCATAGGAGATTAACTTGAAAAGGTAGACTGGGGCCAGGCTATGAACTGTCTTGTTAGGGACTGAATTGTGTCCCCCACAAGATTCATATGTTGACCTCCTAACCCCTAACACACCTCTGAATGTGACTGTCTTTGAAAATATGGCCTTTAAAGAGGTAATCAAGATTAAACAGATCCTATGTTGGGCCCTAATCAGTAGACTGAGCGTGCATGCTAAGTGGCTTCAGTCGTGTCTGACTCTCTGTGACCCCATGGACTTGTAGCCTGCCGGGCACCTGTCCATGGGGCTCTCCAGGCAAGAATACCGGAGTGGGTTGCCATGCCCCCCTCCAGGAGATCTTCCTGACCCAGGGATCGAACCGGAGTCGCCTGTGCCTCCTGCATTGGCAGATGGGTTCTTTACCACCAGCGCCACCTGGGAAGCCCCAGTAGACCGATGACCTTATAAAAAGAGGGAGAGGGACTTCCCTGGTGGTCCAGTAGCTAAGGCTCCGAGCTTCCAGTGTGGGGGAGCCAGGTTTGATCCCTCATCAGGAAACTAGGTCCCATGCTATAACTAATGATCTTCATGCGACAGCGAAGACTGAAGACCTCACAGGCTGCAACGAAGACCTGGCACAGCCAAATAAATAAAGAGGTTTTTTTTTAATAAATAAAAAGAGGGAGAGAAATCAGGGACAGAGGAACACCATGAACAAAGAGAAAAGACCATGTGAAGGGCTGGCAAGGGGGCAGCCGTCTGCAAGCTGAGCAGAGAAGCCTCAGAGGAACCCAGGCTTGCCAACACCTTGAGTTGGGACTTCCAGCCTCCAGAACTGTTGAGAAAATAAATGTCTGTTGTTAAGACTAACATAGGTCTTAAGATTGAAATTTTTGAATTTTAAATCCTACTATATTAACCTGGTTCAAAAATCAAACAGAAAAAGTCATAGTGACTAGATGAGCAGGTCAGTGTCAACCAGTGAAACTGCATGTTGATAGTATGTGATGATCATGGCATTTTATCCCTGTGATATTCCTCCCCAAATCCCATAAACTCAAGCGAATCATGAAGAAAATATCAGATAGATCTCAATTGAGAAATATTCTCAGTTCAATTCAGTTCAGTCGCTCAGTCATGTCCGACTCTTTGTTATCCCATGGACTGCAGCACACCAGGCTTCCCTGCCCATCACCATCTCCCAGAGCTTGTTCACTCATGTCCATCAAGTCAGTGATGCCATCCAGCCATCTCATCCTCTGTCATCCCCTTCTCCTCTTGCCTTCAATATTTGGCATCATCGGGATCTTTTCCAATGAGTCAGTTCTTTGCATCAGGTTGCCAAAGTATTGGAGTTCAACTTCAGCATCAGTCCTTCCAATGAATATTCTCCCAAATACCTAACCAGTATTCTTCAAAATTGTCAAGGTCATATAAAATAAGGAAGGTTCAGGAAACTGTCACAGCCAAGAGGAACTGAAGGTGACATGATGACTAAATGTAATGTGTCCTGGATGGGATCCCAGAGTAAAGGACACTGGGTAAAACTAATATGTGTGTGCTAAGTCACTTCAGTCATGTCTGACTCTGCAATGCCGTGGACTGTAGCCCACCAGGTTCCTCTGTCCATGGGATTTCCCAAATAAGAATACTGGAGTGGGTTGCTATGCCCACCTTCAGGAGATCTTCCTGACCCAGGGATCATACCCGAGTCTCTTACATCTCCTGCATCAGCAGGCGGTTCTTTACCACTAGCACCACCTGGGAATCCCAAATAAGTTATTGTGTTCAGTTGCTAAGTTGTGTCTGACTTTACAACCCCATGAACTGCAGCACTCCAGGCTTCCCTGTCCTTCACCCTCTCCCTGAGTTTGCTCAAACTCATGTCCATTGAGTCAGTGATGCCGTGGACTTCATTTAATAAAAAATGTATTGATTTTGGTTCATTAGTTTGAATGAATGTACCACACTAACGGGCTTCCTCGGTGGCTCAGCAGTGTAGTATATGCCTGCAGTGCAGGAATTGAAGGAGATGGGGGTTCAATCCCTGGGTCAGGGATCCCCTGGAGGAGGGCAGGGCAAGGCACTCCAGTATTCTTGCCTAAAGAATCCCATGGACAGAGGAGCCTGGTGGGCTACAGTCCACAAGATCACAAAGAGTTGAACTTGACTGAAGCGACTGAGCATGCATACACCACACAAATATAAGATGTTAAAAGCAGGGGAAACAAAGTGGGCTTGGGGGAAGGAATATGGGAACTTTGAATTATCTTTGAAAGTTTTCTGTACATCTAAAGCTGCTCCAAAGTTTATTTTTAAAAGTAACAGTGAAAATGCTCACTCTGATTTCTGACCTAATCCACCCAGTTCCCATTCCTACCTGCAATCCTTTATTAGGGTTCTTGCTCCTTCATGAATTCCTTTATGCAAATTTGACTCTATACTTTCTCCCCAAATGGGCTATATAACTTGCTTGAAAGACTATTTAATCATTTTTAATATAAAATAGTTCAAACATACAAAGTAGAGAGAAAAGCACATCCCAGGGACCCATCACCCACATTTAACAATTATCAAGGATTTGCCGAGTGCACTTAGGCTGGATAGGATCTCCTGCCTGGCTCGCTCTCTCTTTTGCTGAACCCTTGTGCATCTTTGAACAACCCAGGTATCTTCTTCCACCACCCTCGGAACCATATCCCACCATCAACAGTGATTCCTGACGGGCTTCTTGTGAACTTTAATCTGGGTGGTGTGGAAACAGACAGGCTGTTTATCCCTGACCTGATTATGTCCACGTGTGGGATGGTTTGGGCGTGGAGGAGGTCAGAGCGGGGAGGCCAGTTATGCACGCCCTTGCTCTAGATACCAGGTGATGGGGCCTGGTGCTTGGAGGTTGCAACAGAATGGAGAAGAGAAGGAGGACTAGCCAGAGCCTGTGTGCCTGGCCACCGAGCAGCCTGGCCTCACATGGGTGCCTGCCTGGAGGACAGAGGGTACCTCGGTGTGAGAGTGGGGCAGCTGCCTCCGTCTGTGCCCACAGGTCCTGCAGGCAAGAGTGGGGACCCAGTGGCCTAGCTTCCCCTTCTCGGGAGAGTGAGCTCATTCTGACCACCTCATCCCAGGTGGCACTTCTCTGCTGTGCCCTGACAAAGCCTGTTCTTTGCCTGTACCCACCCCCTCACGACTCAGGACTGGAGCGTGTCAGAGCTGAAAGGCCCTCAGCAATCACTGACTCTAGACTTGCCCCAGTTAGACATGGGAAAACTGAGACCCAGAGAGGAGATGCAAGCTGCATAGGGCCACACGGGGAGTCAGAAGCAGGGCTGGAGTTAAAACCAGGTCTCTGACCTTCAACCTGGGATCTCCTGTTATTACCTAGAGCTCTCTCTTGTCTCCCAGAAGAGATGTATCACTAGCCATTGATGCCCAGCATGTATAAATTTAAAAATCTCTGAGTAATCCCTCTCCCAGGGGATTACCTGGGTTACCTCTGTATACTAAGCCCTGCTTGCTAAGGATAGCATAATTACAGAAAACTACTGTTTATGGAGCTGCTCCCATGGGCCACAAACTGTGCTGGGAGATTTTCATACACATCTGAATTTTCCTAAATCCCATGAGGCAGGTGTTATTATTTCTGTAATCTCCCATTATAGAGATGGGCAAATTGAGATAAACAGAGAAGGTGCAGCTAGTCTAAGATCATACTTGAGGGCGTGGTGGAGGCAGTGTCTGTTTGACTGGAAAGTCTACACTCAACCACAAACCAACCGCCTTGGCCTCTGAAGAAGAAGCCAAGAAGAGGATGGTGGTGGCTCCCCAGCCTCCTCCCTCTTTGTCCCTCAGCCCCGCCCAGCGGCTCAGGCCCCTCAAAGGAGAAGACAGGGTGGGATAGACTCTGATCATCTCTGTCCCTAGAGACGTCCCTCCGACATCACCTGCTGTCATCTCTATGGTCCATTCCCAAGGTGGGTTAGGGGCCATAAACAGACCCCTTCGCTCCAGATGCTCCAGGGAGTTTCAGTGCTGCCTGTGGAGTGCACCGGTCACCATCGCATCTCCTCAGGGTTCCAGTGAATGGCACAGTGTGGAGGGCACAGAAAGGATGCATGCTCACTGGGCACTGAGGGTCCTCTCAGCCCCAGCCCAGCCCTGGACACGTGGGTGGCCCTGCCCCGGCCTCTGTAATTCAGGCGCTCAGACCGGGGTGCTGGTGAGACAGGGCTGTAAGGACAGAACAGTACCCTGGAGAGGAAGACTGCGTGCCGCCCGGGACGTCTGCGCCTCTGAAGGACGCTGGCACAGGTGCTGCAGGCGTCCTAGGCCAGGGGTAAAGCCTGCGGGAAGTGCCAAGGCTGAAGAGCCGCCACGTGCCCGGGAAGGTCGGCTGGCCGTGGGGAAAGGGCCCCGGGAGGGTGGCAGAAGCCGCGTGGGTAGGTGGTGGTGGCGGGGAACAGGTGCCCAGGGCCCGAGCGCCACGCCGGCTCGTGGGTCCGTGCTGAGCAATGCGGAGCCAGGTCACACGCGTGGTCTGGGGCGCATCCACCCCCTTCCAACCCGAGCCCCGCAGCCCCGCGGGGCGCCTGGAGGCCGGGGTCGGGACGCAGTCAGAGGGGCACGCGCGCGCCGTGGCCGCGGGATGCGCCCTGCCCGCGCCGGACCTCCCGGAGCCCGGGTTCGAGCCGTGGCCCCGCCGAGACGCGCTGCGGTGCCCGGCCAGGTCCTCCCTCCTCTGGGCCTCGGTTTCCCCCACGCCGGAGGTCTCCCAGGAGCCGAGACCGCGGCAGCACACCGCCAAGGACCCACAGGCCGGCCCGCGAGGCGGGGCAGCGGCTTCCGCAGCGGGCGCGCCCGCCCCGCCCGCGGGAGCGCGGACGCGCTCGTACCTGGCCGTGCTCGGGAGCGAGGCGGGGCGGGGCGGGGCGGGAATGCCCCGCCCCCTGCGCGGGAGGGCCAATCGGAGGGGGCGGCGGGCCCCGTGTGGGGCGACGCGCTGGGGGCGGGGCCTGCGGGCGCTGAGGAGAGTCCGCGGGCTGGCGGCGGGAGGCGGGCGGCCGGAGGAGGTGGCGGCGACGGCAGCCGGTCCCGGGACAGCGACGCAGCGCGCCGGCTGCCGCGACAGAGCCGGTCAGGCTCCGCAGCCCGCCGCAGCCGCCGCCTCCCCGTGAGGGCCAGAGGGCGCGGCGGCGGGCGCGCGGCCTGTGAGGGCGACCGGAGCGGCGGGCACGGCGCGGCGCCGAGCGTCCTGTCAGGCGGCCGAGGGCGCCGCGGACCCGCGCCGCGATGATGCCGGTGGGTGCGGGCGGCGGCGGCGGCTTCCTCCACGGGCGGCTGGCCAAACCTCCTTCCTCCCGCGCCTCCCGGCCCCCGGGGGCCCGCGCGAGCTCGGCGGGCCGGGCGGGAGGGGAAGGAAGTGGCCTGGCGGGCGCGCCCGGTCTCGGCGCCCCCCCCGCGGGCGGGCAGGTGGGGCGGCGCCGGCTGTCAGCGCGGGCTGGGCCTGGGGTCCGGGGATCTGGGGTCCGGGGGTTGCAGCGGGGTCCTGGAGCGGGGGCCGGCGTGGTCGGGAGTCCGGGGGCGGGGGGGAGTCCCTGGCCGGCGCCCCCTCGGCCGCCAAGCGCGGCCCTTTCCTGCTGAGCCTCCGCGGCCGGGCTACCCGGGAGGGGAAGCCGGGAGGTGGGATTGGGGCCGGTCAGTTCCCCCAACCCCACCCCGTCCGTCCTGGCGGGGGGTCGGGCGGAGAGGCGGGGGTGTCGTTTGGCGCTCGCCCCGTTTCAAGGTCTCGAGGCGCCTCTGTGGCCCCCCCCCGCCCTGCCTGAAATTTGCTGGTGTCGTATTTGGAGTCGGCAGTGTGGGCACCCCCGTGTGGTGCTCCCACGCCGGAAACCCACATTTCTCCGTAGTCCTTTTAGTGATTTCTGAAATCCTGTTGTATTTAGGAATTTACTTGGGGACTGGATTTTGAGAGCCATTTTAGGCATTCCCTGTTACCGTACCTTCGAGATTTGTACATTTGGCGTTATCTGGCCTGTTGCCACCGATTTGAAGGGTGAGCTAGGTTCATTTGTGCTGTGGTGCCGCCTTGTCCTGCCCTCAAGGATGCGTTCTACTAGCAGACACTGCTCGTTAGATTGCCAGGCTCCTTCCGGAGTTTTTCCTTTACCTATCATCTAAAGAGCCATGAGTGGTGAATTATAATTTTTCTATTCTGGCTTTTTGTGAAGTAAATGTCTCGATTTATGAAAAAATGAAGAGCTGGTGGTACCCAGTTGGATGTATTGGTTTTCTGAGTGCCTATATATTAAGTAAAATTCTCAAAGGCATTTGTAGTAAAGTAACAATTTCGCCTACAGTTTCTACTGAAATGAAAATCCATTTCAGAAGGAAAGTACCGTTTCTCTGCATTTTCTGCTTGAATACTATTATTCCGCCGTGCTGCACCCAAGGACATTTAGATTAGAATTTTTTCTCCCTGATCTTTCAAATCATTTCTTGTCTCTTGGTAATCTCTTCTGCCCTTTTTGAACTGGTTCCAACGCATTGCCTTTGCAGAGTCTTAAGATTTGACCTAGTTGATCCTTAGATCCTTCTTTGGCATCAGAGCTTGTTGTATTTCTAAATGATTGGTTTTAAATGAATGATTATCTTGTAAAGAAAGAACTGGATCAACATCAGAAGATCCAGGATCCAGTACTGGTTCTGCTACTTTTTAGCAATGTGACCTTGAACAATTCAAGGTCTCCAAGCCTGGAATTACCTCTAAAGTAGGGATAAAAACAGACCAATATCTGATGGCTGTCCTGAGGATCAAAAAGGATGATGTGTCCAGAAGTCCTTGTTAAACAGAATGCCATGCAGATATGTTTTATGGTTAATATGGCTCTGAATTGTCAATTTCTAATTTTAACCTCTGCAAGATAAGGCATTTGGAAACAGTTCTCTCCCTAATTCTCACTGGCTAGATTTGGAAAAGGCATTATGGTGTTTTGGAATTTTGAAACCACTTTTAGCTAAATCCTGTAATTGATACTATAGTAATATTGAAGCACACCTATAAAGTTTTGACTGATTTCATCATTGTATGATGTTTCATTTTAAATACTCTGTTAAGGAATTTGGCTTACACTTTCCATATGATACATTCAGATGTTTTATTTCTCTGCTCCACATAATTAGAATTTCTAGTCTACCTGACCAGGTTTTCCTTTTCAGAAGTTTGCTTGGCTGGCAGTTGGGAAATTTCTTTGTGATACTCATAATAATCAAATACTGTTTTTAAAAAACGGGCCTATTAAATATTTAAAGCACACTGCTTTTATTTTAAAATGCCTTCTAGAAACAGAAGGTATTTCTCTTAGTCCCACTTTCAAGGTCTTTTCTTTTGTATTTCCTTCTTGTTCCCTAAGTACGACTTTTAAGATTGAGTCCTTCCTCTATAAATGTAGTTGGGGTTGGTTGTAAATTTCATAGAAGTTTTAAGGACATGCCATTCTTACTTGGTACTGTCTTAAACTGTGCACCCAAGATATAAATAAGATTTTTCTTTATTATATATTTGGCGTTCATCATCATCATCATCATCATCGTGAATCACTGAATCATTAGATCATTGAATCATTAGATCATTGAATCATTAGATCATATTTTGCAGAGTTTATATAGAGTAGCACTACCCAATAGGAATGTAATAAGCCACACAGATGCGATTCAAATTTGTCTAGTGACTAGTATTATTTTAAATAGTTTATTAACTCAATATATTAAAAATATTATAACTAACATATAATCAATATGAAAAAATTACTAGTGATACTTTACTTTTTTTTGGTACTAAGATTTTGAAATCCAGTGTGAATCCAGTGTAAATCCAGTGAAGTTCTATGTATATAGCACACCTCAGTTCAGACTAGGACATTTCAAGTGCTCAGTAGCACATGTAGCTAGTGGCTGCTATCTTGAACTGTTGTTTAACAGTTGTTTAACAGTTAACTATGTTTAGGTTTAGAGTGTATGCTATTTTACTTACTTGAGAATTGGCAATTAGTATGTAGTGTCTGTAATAACTTTTAATTGATCAGATGACTTACTGCAGCAGCCAGTCTCTCAGCTGTTGGAAATGAATATCTTGCCATGTTCTCATCTGACACAATAAGGTCTTTGTAGAAGTCTTCAATTTGCTTATTACATCAAGTTTCATGACTGTCAATTTTAAACAAAGTTATATTTTGGAATTTTATGTTATTAAAATATCATTGCATTCTAGTATGTGTGGTCATTCACCTTTTTTCAAGTGGATGACATTTTAAAACAGTTTTCCAGGGGGAAAAAGGGACCACAGTTTAAAGATGACTTGTTGGTTGGTCCCTAACATCTGAACCTGAAATCATTTAGGCCATACCTAAACAACTTTGATAGAAATAAGGATTTTAATAAAGGTAGCCGGGTTCAGAGCATGAAAAGGCTGAAAAACTGCCTTGATCATTAGGATCATTCTTTTCTACAGAATGAACACTTTGCAGCTGTAGAGCTTTTTGTGCACAGGTGAAATGTATCTGGAGCATGGTGCTAAGGGTACTTTTTTCTCTTTCAAAGGACTGTTGACTTGGGTAAAGGAAGTTCTGTGGCTCTGAAGTACGTATTATTTGTAAGAAAGGCACTCTGGTGGTAGTGTTTCGGTCATGTTAGCAGTGGGACTCCTTACCTCCAGTAGGCACCATGTAGTGTGATTAGTTGATTCCATTTATTTCTGTCCTAGGAGCTCTTTCAGCATACTCACTGTGGGCAGTGGGTTACATTAGTTTGTGCTCAATATTTAGCTCTCATTAAACAAACATTCAGTTATTTCAGGTATTCACTTTCAATGATGTAGAAAACATTTTGAGGTTCTGAAATAGATTCCTTTTGAAACCATCAGCTTTCATGTAATTTACAAAACAGTGAACTGGAAGCAGAGAGGCTAAGGTTCTAGTCCCCACTTGTAACTCTATGACCTTTGGACTTAAATTTCTTTGAGCCTCTGTTTTCTTACCTGTAAAATGAGTTGGTCCTGGTCTTTTCCAAGTGTTTGTGATTGGTCTCATAGTTGATACGTGGCATATACTTTAATGAGGGTCAGTAATCTCATTGGCTGCATCAGAGGTTGACGCAACCTGTCACTTGTTTCGGCAATCTTTTAGTAAGTGCATTCACTGCCCAAGTATTTTGGTATGATAGAACTGATGGAAGCAGCTCAATGGATGTTCATTATTATTGTTAATAATTAAGTCATTTGATCGACTTTAGTTTCTAGCCTAACTCCGTAAACAAAACAGTAAGGACTGGAGAAGATTTTTTTTTTAATTCTAGTGACTGCTTGAACTGTAGCCCTTCAGGCCGCTCCTGGCTCCTCTGTCGCTGGGATTCTCCAGGCAGGAATACCGGAGTGGGGTGCTGCTTCCTTCTCCAGGGGATCTTCCTGACCCAGGAATCAAACCTGAGTCTCTTGTGTCTCCTGCATTAGCAGGCAGGTTCTTTACCACTAGCGCCACCTGAGAAGCCCAGTTAAGTCATTTTGACCGGTTTTATTTTGTAGCCTAACTCAGTAAACAAAACACTCAGGACTTGGAGGAGTTTTTTGGTTTTTTTTAAACTCTGGTTTCTTTGAGACAAAAATTACAAAGATAATATTACCATTTAAGATAATCAAACTATTTCTAACTTTTGGAGTGCCAAAAAGTTCACAGAAGGAAAAGGAAAGCTTTGATCATACAAAGATGCATATATGAAAGGTTTATTATTACAGTTTTATTGAAATTAACAATAATCTTTAGGAATAACTCTTCTGAAGGCTGCAGTATTAAGTACCACAGTAAAGTTTTCCAGCTGTTTAACTTCCTGCAATTTAGTTTAGTAGTAATGAGCACTCAGTGAATGCTGCTTGTTACTATGTGCTAACACTGTGATCTGTGGGCTTCCCTGGCGGCTCACTGGTGAAGAACCCACCTGCCAGTCAGGAGATGCGGGTTTGATCCATGGCTCAGGAAGGGCTCCTGGAGGAGGAAATGGCAAGCCACCCCAGTATTCTTCCTGGGGAATCCCACAGACGGAGGATCCTGGCAGGCTAAACAAGAGCAGTTGTGTCCTGTAGGTTTTGTGGTGGTGTCTTCATATTTATGGGAGCTGAGGCTCAGGAGGAAAAGAAACTTGGCTAAGGGCCCCCAGCTACTTAGTGGTAGAGCACTGTCGGGAAGCAAACTGTCTGACGCAGAAGTCCTTGCTTCTGGCCTTTGTGCCGGTCACTTACAGGAGTTTGCTAC